CTCCTCGACGCGCTGCAGCCCGGGTCGAAATCTTGGCCAAAAGGCCAATAAATGCACGCTCCGCTAGCCTAACCTAACCTCCACGCGCCCGGGGGCTCATTTCCTGGCCATTTTCCTTGTTTCTGGCCAGGAGTCGACCCGGGCTGCAGCGCGTCGAGGAGGTGGACTTGAACCGACCTGAACGCGTGCATTAGGGGAGACCAAGACTCGTAAAGCAGGACCGACCTCTGAACTCTCCACTGACAAGTGGAGCCGACAGCCGAGTGGGGAGCGCACTGGGGTGTGGTCTAGAAACCGTCGGCCCAGGGATCGACTCCCAGCCGTAGAACTTTTTTCCCGCTCTGTTGAGCATGTCTTCGGGAGTGAGCGACAGGCCAGATGCGCATGTCGCCGGGAGCGGACCAACAGAGCGAGAAAAAAAGTTACGCTGCTGGGATTCGATCCCAGGGCCGACGGTTTCCGGACCACACCCCAGCGGGCTCGCCACTCAGCTGTCGCCTGCTCCTGTGAACGGAACGGTCAGAACTCGGTCCTGCTTTAAGGTTGTTGATCTGCCGTATTGCACGCGTTCTGGTCGGTTCGAGTCCACCTCCTCGACGCGCTGCAGCCCGGGTCGAAATTTGGCCAGAAACACGGGAAAAGGCCAATAAATGGAACCTAACCTAACCTCCACGCGCCCGGGGGGCTCATTTGCTGGCCATTTTCCTTGTTTCTGGCCAGTAGTCGACCCGGGCTGCAGCGCGTCGAGGAGGTGGACTTGAACCGACCTGAACGCGTGCATTAGGGGAGACCAAGACTCGTAAAGCAGGACCGCCTCTGAACTCTCCACTGACAAGTGGAGCCGACAGCCGAGTGGCGAACGCGCTGGTGTGTGGTCCACAAGACACCGTCCGCCCGGGGGTCGAGTACTGGTCGGGGCGAACAGTTTGATTATTTTTTTTTTTGGGGGGGGGGGGGTACGGGTGGTGCTGGTGAGTAGGCGGTCAAGTCCACCTTCCCGTGCCGACTGGTTACAAAGTTCTGCGGCTGGGATTCGATCCCTTGGCCGAC